ATTACAGGCGTGAGCCACCACATTCGGCCAGGATCTTATTGTTTTTTATGGCTAAATAATACTCTCTTGTGTATATGTACTATATTTTCTTTATCCATTCATCTGTTGATGGACACAGGTTGCTTCCAAATCTTAGCTATTATGAACAGTGCTACAACAAAAAGGGAATGCAGATATCTCTTCTATATACTGATTTCCTTTCTTGTGGGTGTCTACTCAGCAGTGGGATTGCTGGATCATATGGTAGCTCTATTTTTAGTTTTTTGAGGAACCTCCAAACTGTTCTCCAAAGTGATTCTACTAATTTACATTTCCATGAGCAGTGTATGAGGGTTCTCTTATCTTCACATCTTTGTCAGGATTTGTTATTGCCTGACTTTTGGATATAAACCGTTTTAGCTGGGGTGAGATGATATCTCGTTGTAGTTTTCTACACTGCCAATTTCTCTAATGATCAATAATGTTAAGCATCTCTTGATATGCCTGTTTACTGTCTGTATGTTTTCTTTTGAGAAATGCCTATTCAAATCTTATGCTCCTTAAAAATTTAGATTATTAGATTTTTTTCCTAGAGAGTTGTTTGAGCTCTTTACCCATTCTCGTTATTAATCCCTTTTCAGATGGGTAGTTTGCAAATATTTTCTTCCATTCTGTGGGCTGTCTCTTCACTTCATCAATTGTTTCCTTTGCTATGAAGAAGCTTTTTTAACTTGATGTGACCCCATTTGTCCATTTTTGCTTTGGTTGCCTGTGCTTGTTGGGTGTGGCCCAAGTAATTTTTGCTCTGACCAATGTCCTGGAGATTCTTCCCAATGTTCTCTTGTAGTATATTAGTTTCATTGAGGTCTTAGATTTAAGTCTTTACTCCATGTTGATTTGATTTTTGTATATGGTGAGAGGTAGGGGTCTAGGTGCATTATTCTGTATGTGTATATCCAGTTTTCCCAGAACCATTTGTTGAAGAGAAGTCTTTTGTTCAATGTATGTTCTTGGCACATTTATGAAAAATGAGTTCACTGTAAGTGTGTGGATTTGTTTCTGGGTTCTCTATTCTGTGCCAGTGGTCTATATGTCTTTTTTTATGCCAGTGCCATGGTGTTTTGGTTATATAGTTCTGTAGTGTAATTTGAAGTCAAGTATTTGATTATATAGTTCTGTAGTATAATTTGAAGTCAGGCAATGTGATTCCTCCAGCTTTGTTCTTTTTGCTCAGAATAGCTTTGGCTATTCTGGGTCTTTTGTGGCTCCACATAAATTTTAGGATTATTTCTCCTATTTCTGTGAAGAATGTCATTCATATTTTGACAGGGAGTGCAATGAATCTGTAAATTGCTTTGGATAGTATGGACATTTAAACAATATTAATTCTTCCAATCCATGAACATGGAATCTCTTTCCATTTTTTGGTGTCCTCTTCAATTTCTTTCTTCAGTGTTCTATCACTTTCATCATAAAGGTCTTTCACTTCTTTGGTTAGGTTAATTTCTAGATATTTAATTTTATTTGTGGCTATTGTATATAGGACCGCTTTTTAAATGTCCTTTCCAAATGGTTCACTGTTGACATACAGAAATGCTACTGATTTTTGTATATTGATTTCGTATCCTGCAACTTTACTGAATTTGTCAATTCTTATAGTTTTTTGTGGAGTCTTTAGTATTTTCCAAATAAAATGTATCATCTGCAAACACAAGGATAATTTTACTTCTTCTATCCCAATTTGGATTTCTTTTTACATTCCCTTTATTTCTTTCTCTTCTATGGTGGCTCTAGCTAGGACTTCCAGTACTATGTTGAATAGCAGTGGTAAAAGTGGACATTTTCATTGTGTTCTAGATTGCAGAGGAAAGCTTTTCAGATTTTCCCCATTCAGTTTGGTACTGACTGTGGGTCTGTCAAATATGGTTTTTATTATGTTGAGGTGTGTTACTTCTATACCCAGTTTCGTTAGGGTGTTTACCATGAAGGGATGTTGGATTTTATCAAATGCTTTGTAGCATCAACTGAAATGATCTTATGGCTTTTATCCTTTATTGTGTTGATATAATGTATCGCATTGATTGATTTGCAAATATTGAACCATTCCTGCATCCCAGAGGAATTTTCAGAGGTATATCCCACTTGTCATGATGAATGATCTTTCCTATATATTGTTGAATTCAGTTTTCTAGTATCTTGTTGAGGATTTTTGCATCAATATTTATCAGATATACTGGCTTTTTTGTTTGTTTGTTTTTGTTTTGCTTTGTTTTTTTTGAGACTGAGTCTCACTCTGTCACCCAGGCTGGAATGCAGTGGCGTGATCTCAGCTCACTGCAACCTCTGCCTCCCAGGTTCAAGTGATTCTCCTCTCTTGGCCTCATGAGTAGCTGAAATTACAGGCACCTGGCACCACACCCAACTAATTTTCATATTTTTAGTAGAGACGGGGTTTCACCATACTGGCCAGGCTGGTCTTGAACTCCTGACCTCCAGTAAACCACCCACCTCTGCCTCCCAAAGTGCTGAGATTACAGGAGTGAGCCACCACTTCCAGCCTATGTGTGTCTTTACGGGAGAAGAGTGTTTCTTGTAGGTAACAGATCAATGGGTCTTTTTATTTTATTTTATTTTATTTTATTTATTTTTGAGATGGAGTCTTGCTCTGTCACCAGGCTGGAGTGCCCTGGTGCCATCTTGGCTCATTGCAACCTCTGCCTCCCGGATTCAAGCTATTCTCCTGCCTCAGCCTCTTGAGTAGCTGGGACTACAGGTGCACACCATCACACCCTGCTAATTTTTGTATTTTTAGTAGAGACAGGATTTCACCATGTTTGCCAGGATGGTCTCTATCTCTTGACCTCGTGATCCACCTGCCTTGGCCTCCCAAAGTGCTGGGATTACAGGCATGAACCACCACACCTGGCTGGGTCTTGTTTTTTCATCCATTCATCCACTCTGTCTTTTGATTGAAAAGTTTAGTCTGCTGACACTCAACGTTATTATTGATAAGTAAGGACTTACTCCTGCCATTTTGTTATTTTTTTTTCTGGTTGTTTTGGGTCTTCTCTTCCTTCTTTCCTTCCTGTCTTCCATTAGTGAAGGTAATTTTCTCTGGTGATATGATTTAGTTTCTTGCTTTTTATTTTTCATGTATCCATTGTTATGTCTTTTGGTTTGAGGTTACCATGAGGCTTGTAAATACTATTTTACAACCCATTATTTTAATCTTATAATAATACTGTTTTCATAAACAAGTAAAAAGAAAACTAATAAAAACTCTATAACTTAACTTTGTCTCCCTATTTTTTAACTTTTTGTTATTTCTATTTATATCTTATTATGCCATTTATGTCTTGAAAAGTTGTAGTTAATATTTTTGATTGGCTCATAGTTTAGTCTCTTTACTTAGAATAAGAGTAGTTTATACATCATAGTTACAGTGTTATAACATTTTGCATTTTTCTGTGAACCTAATGTTACCAGTGAGTTTTATATCTTAAAGTTGTTACTTACTGCTTATTAATGTCCTTTCTGATTGAAGTACTCCCTTTAGCATTTCTTCTAGGACAGGTCTGGTGTTGATGAAATCCCTCAGCTTTTGTTTGTGTGGAAAAGTCATTATTTCTCCTTCACTTTGAAAGATATTATCACCGGATACACTGTTTCAGGGTAAATGTTTTTTTCCTTCAGCGCTTTCAATATGTCATGCCACTCTCTCCTGGCCTGAAATGTTTCTACTGAAGAGTCTGCTGCCAGATATATTGTAGCTCCATTGCATATTATTGGTTTCTTTTCTCTTGCTGCTTTTAAGATCCTTTCTTTATCCTTGATCTTTGGGACTGTGATTATTAAATTCCTTGAGGTCGTCTTCCAGTTACATCTGCTTGGTGTTTTATAACTTCCTGGTACTTGGGTATTTGTATCTTTCTGTGGGTTTGGGAAGTTCTGTTACTATCCCTTTGAATAAACTTTCTACACTTCCCATCTCTTTAAGGCCAATACCACTTTGATTTGTCCTTTTGAGGCTATTTTCTTGATCCTGTAGGCATGTGTCATTGTTTTTTATTCTTTCCTTTGTCTGCTCTATGTATTTTGAAATAGCCTATCTTCAAGCTCATTAATTCTGTCTTCTGCTTGATCAATTCTGCTATTAAAAGGCTCTAATGCATTCCTTGGTGTGCCAATTACATTTTTTAGCTCCAGAATTTCTGCTTGATTCTTTTAAATTATTTCAATCTCTTTGTTAAACTTATCTAAATAGAATTATGAATTCCTTCTCTGTGTTGTCTTGAATTTCTTTGAGTTTCCTCAACACAGCTATTTTGATTTCTTTGTCTAAAAGGTCACATATCTCTGTTTCTACAGGATTGGACCCTGGTGTCTTATTTAGTTCATTTGGTGTGGTCATGTTTTCCTGGATAATGTTGATGTGAGCAGATGTTCTTTGGTGTCTGGGCATTGAAGAGTTAGGTATTTATTGTAGTTTTCACTGTATATTGTAGTTTTCACTGTCAGAGCTTGTTTGTACCCATCTATTTTGGGAAGGCTTTCCAGTGATCTAAGCTGTATCTGCTTTAGGGGACACCCCAAGCCTCCTAAACTCTGTGGTTCTTGCAGACTCACAGTGGTACTGCCTTAATGGTCTTGGACAAGATCCAGGACAATTCTCTGTGTTACCAAAAAGAGACTCTTGTTCTCTTCCCTTACTTTCTCCCAAACAAACAGAGTCTCTCTCTCTCTGTTCTGAGGCACCTAAAGCTTGGGGTTGAGTCACATGGGCACCCCTGTGGCCACCACTACTGTGACTTCACTAGTCACTACTGTGACTTCACTGAGGCCAGCACAGCACTGGGTCTTGCCCAAGACCTGCTGTAGCCACTCCTTAGCTATTGCATAAGTTTCCTGAAGGCCCTGGGGCTCTACAATCATCACATGGTAAAAACAGCCAGGCCTGTGTCCTTCCCTTCAGGATGGCAAGTTCTCCCAGCCTCTGGGTGGATCCAAAGGCGCTGTCTGGGAATCAGGGTCTAGATCAAAAACTTTAAAAGTCTACCTAGTGTTTTATTGTGCTATGGCTGAGCTGTCACTCAAACCACAAGATGCAGTCCCTCCCACTCTTTCCACCCCTCTCCAAAGGCAGAGGAGCATCAATCCGTGGCCACCTCAAACACAGGCCATGGTGGGTACTGCCAGACTACCGCCAATGTTCTTATAAGGCCCAAAGGCTCTTAAGTCAGTTTGTGGTGAATGCTCCTGTTAATTATTTTAAAATGCTTCTTTTTTGTTTTTTGTTTGTTTGTTTGGTTGGTTGGTTTTTTGAGATGGAGTCTTGCCCTGTCACCCAGGCTAGAGTGCAATGGTGTGATCTCAGCTCAATGCAACTTCTGCCTCCCAGGCTCAAACGATTTTCCTGCCTCAGCCTCCCAAGCAGGTGGGATTACAGGCACCCACCACCACACCCAGCTAATTTTTCCATTTTTAGTAGAGACACGGTTTTACCATGTTGGTCAGGATTGTCTTGAACTCCTGACCTTGGGGTCCTCCCACCTCAGCCTCCCACAGTGCTTCTTATAAAAGTACAAAATAGCATAATGCATTATAAAAATAATCAAACTTACCCTTCGACAAATACTCGAAGAAGAACATCCATGAGAAAAAATAAGGCAATAGCTAGAGAAATAGAACGATACACCAAAGGAATATAAAGTTTGCTATCATTGAAAATTAGGTCGGCAAGGAGGAGAGTGACATGCAGTAAGACCAGGAAAACTCCAAATATTCTAAAATAAATAAATAAATAAATAAATAAATAAATACAAAGATAAAGGGGCTTTTGTCCCTATAGCTATACTGTATTTAGGCCACTGATCAGGTGGCCAAAATGTTATTATTTAGTATTAAGCCGCCAAGTGTCAGGAAAAACTGTAATGCCTTAGAATCTCAGAAAGTCACTGTTTTCACCCAATAGAAGCAGTTCTTAATAAACAAAATTCTCACCAAACCACTTCACAAGATATTATCATGCCCTTTTATAGTAGAAACATCAGACCAACACCTCAAGAGAGAAAAGTAAAACTGAATTAAAATCACCTGTGTCTGTTTGTAAACTCTTCTTAAAATTTGAGAATTTTATAAGAAATTTATACCAATTTCTCATAAAAAATAAACCCTCAATCTGGATAATTCTAAAGAATTTATTAATAAAAACCAAATGAAAGCATGAGTAACATACGTTCTTAAAAGACCAAGTTTTTTGTCAGTGACATTTTCAACAAGTACATGATTCCATATTTATGGGTGCTTCTAGCATAGTGATGGGCACGTGAGTCTTGAACTCTAAGGTACCTCCTGCCACTTGCTGTTACATATTTTTTTTTTTTTTTTTGAGACGGAGTCTCGCTCTGTCACCCAGGCTGGAGTGCAGTGGCCGGATCTCAGCTCACTGCAAGCTGCGCCTCCCGGGTCTAGGCCATTCTCCTGCCTCAGCCTCCCGAGTAGCTGGGACTACAGGCGCCTGCCACCTCGCCCGGCTAAGTTTTTGTATTTTTAGTAGAGACGGGGTTTCACTGTGTTAGCCAGGATGGTCTCGATCTCATGACCTCGTGATCCGCCCGTCTCGGCCTCCCAAAGTGCTGGGATTACAGGCTTGAGCCACCGCGCCCGGCCTTGCTGTTACATATTCTAAATACATTCTCCATAAATTGATTAGACTATTTGCCTAATCCATGAAGATGAATTAGTCTTCGAAGTACTTTTTTAAAAACTTGCAGCTCAAATTAAAATAGTATTAATTCAAAAGGAAACAGTTATATTGCATAAATCTATATCATAGTATGAAATCTCACTCTTATGTAGAGAAGAGTCTAAGTAAATTATTTCCAGAATTAAAGAGTAAGTCTACATGTATACGGTACTTAATAAAACACTTAACTTATAGAATTTTAACATTTAATTTTCATTAATGTTACTTTTGCAGATGGAAGAAAAACAATATTAATATGTTACTATTAATCTTAGGCAAAAGCCATTTATTTGCAAGTCTTAATGTCCAGCTTAAACCAGAATTCCATGATAAATTAGATTACATTAGAAGGGGCACACGGCTACTTAGCAACTGATGGAAGGTGGAAATGCTTTTTTGTTTTTTTATTTCAGTCTTTCTCATTGAAGTATTAAGTCATATATATATATATATATATATTTTAAGATGGAGTATTGCTCTGTTGCCCAGCCTGCAGTGCAATGGTGCAATTTCAGTTCACTGCAACCTGTGCCTTCTAGGTTCAAGCGATTCTTCTGCCTCAGCCTCCTGAGTAGCTGGGATTACAGGCACCCGCCATTATGCTCAGTTAATTATTGTATTTTTAGTAGAGATGGGGTTTCACCATGTTAGCCAGGCTGGTCTTGAACTCCTGACTTCAGGTGATCTGCCCGCCTCAGCCTCCCAGAGTGCTGGGATTACAGGCGTGAGCCACCACGCCAAGCCAAGTCTCAAATATATTTAACACATGGTGTTTTCTATGTCCCACATACCCAAATGCAAAGGATGATACAATTGAATGCACAATTTTCTTAATCTTGCTGCTGCAAAAAGAAGTAAAAATAAAATTAATCAGATTTCTTCTAACATATATGGTAAATTTAACCAAAAAACAAAGGCCTTTATAAATACAATTTTAAAAGAAAATTATTCAGAAGTTGTATAACAAAATGCTTTTTACTAATAGCTAAAATTTTATTCTTTCTGCTCCATGAGTATTTTACTTTGCTATCCAGAATATATGCGAATAAGACAGTAAACTTTGGATGTTTAGTAACATTTCCATTGCATGCAAAGCCCCAACCCCAACTTTATGGCAATACTAAACTTAAACTTGTGGTCATCTACTCAGGGAGTATAGCATGAAGACAGAAAAGGGTGGTAGAAGAGAACTGTATTTTAGTGCCAGCCTGGGCAAGTCATCAAACTTTGGCCAGATCTCAGTTTCCACCACAATAAAATAAGGTATTTCAGGAATGAGCATAGGGAGTAAATGATACTCTTGTCATCTCTTCAAACTAGACACCTAGTAAACAGACACACATTTGAGGTTGCAAATGAACTTCAGAGGTAAGACATTTTAGTAAGATATACTTCAAAGGAGAAACACCCGAAAGACTGGGCTCCTTCCATTAATCAAAGGAAGGAGAACCTGTTTGATGGAGCCTCCAATAATGCCTCATTTTACCTTGTGGCTGGAGACAAGGTAGCTGATCAGGAACAATTGTTTTGTCCTACTGAAGCCTCGTGTGTTGGAGGCTCTTTAGAAGGAGAAGCCTCCAACACAGGAGGCTTCAGTAGGAGAAGTCTTCAGAAAGTTTCTGTCATACTGAAGCCTCCAACACAGGACTCAAATTTCACCATGAGAGGCATGAATCCTAAAACAATGCTCCCAGTCTGTGCCTAAGACTGGAGAACAAAGAGGGCAGATACTGAGCAGAACTGGGGCACTGCCAAAATTGGCCTTTGACATGAACAGACATTTCTTAAAAGAAGACATACATGTGGCCAACAAGCATATGAAGAAAAGCTCAATATCACAGATTAGAGAAATGCACATTGAAACCACAATGAGATACCATTTCACACCAGTCAGAATGCCTATTACTAAAGAGTCAGAAAATAACAGATGCTGGCAAGGTTACAGAGAAAAGGGAACACTTATACATTGTTGGTGGGAGTGTAAATTAGTTCAACCATCATAAAAAGCAGTATGGCAATACCTTGAAGAGCTAAAAGCAGAACTACTATTTGACTGAGCAATCCCATTACTGAGCATATACCCAGAGGAATATAAATCATTCTACTATAAAGATACATGCATATGAATGTTCACTGCAGCACTATTTACAATAGCAAAAACATGGAATCAACCTAGGTAACCATCAATGACAGACTGGATAAAGAAAATGTGGTACATATATACCATGGAATACTATGCAGCCATAATAAAAGAATGAGATCATGTCTTTTGTGGGAACATGGATGGAGCTGGAGGCTATTATCCTTAGCAAACTAGTGCAGAAACAGAAAACCAAATACTGAATGTCGTCACCTATCAGTGGTAGCTAAATCATAAGGACTTATGAACACAAAGAAAGAAATAGACACTGAGGTCTGCTTAAGTGGGGAGGGTAGGAGGAGAGAGAGGAGCAGAGAAGGTAACTATTTGGGTACTGAGCTTAATACCTGGATGATGAAATAATATGTGAAAAAAAAAAACCTCCCTGACATATGTTTACTTATGTAACAAACCTCTCATGTACCTCCAAACCTAAAATAAAAGTTAAAAAAAAAAAATCGGCCTTTGCTGAATGATGTTAGGTTAACCTGTGATAAAGGAAATCCCCAATTCTTCTAATTTTCCCCTCTCCACCTGGACCCACCACCTCTGCCCAGGCTTGGAGAATTAAGGCTGATGTAGATGGAGGATCAATTGGCCAAAAGAGGTGAATTCTCTCCTCAAGTTGCCATTCTCTTACTACAAGACCCTCTGATCCCACGCAGTCTACTGGATATGTGGGTATCAAGGAAATATAAATCTGAACTCACTTGACAATGTCACCATACAGAACCAAGCCTGACAGATTACGAAGGCATGAAGGAGTGGCTTGGGTGGCTTTAGCCCCTTAATCTGTTTCAGTGTCCACTGAAACTATACCAAATAAATATACAATTGAGATGTTTTTGGTTAAAAAAAAAGTGTGCTATGTAAATGCAGTTTCAAGCAGTTATGTGTAGAGTTTGCAGGGAAATAACTATGACTCAATAAATCCACATCCAGGAAAAGTACTTTTCACACTCGGGAGCAATAGACAGACACTCCAACGTGCAGCAACTCGAAGCATAGCCTCCATGTACCTTTCCTAAAACAATTACTCAAAGGGCTTGAGTCAGCTGAGCAATGAATCAAAATGAAGAACATAGAAATAAGGAAGATGACTTACTGAGAAAAGATGGTACATAATATAAACTCAGAATTAGGTAAGTCTAAATAATAATTGTTAATGTAGCATAAAAATGTAGCAGGTGAAAATGTAAATAAATGATTCTAAAAGTAAAGATAAATCATATAAAATCATGAATAATAGTATTGATTTGAATTTTTAGGCATTCTTACACTAGGATTCAAGGTGTGGAAGAAGATAGAAGTAAAGGCAGGTTGCATTTCTTATCTTTCACAGGTACAAGTCCAATTTTATTCTCGATACTGATGGAGAAAAGTGGCATAAATTCAACTTCAGTTTGTAAATACCCACCTTGCTTGTCCTTGTAATTTTCTGCCTTTTCACATTCAAATACCACCAGTAACTCTTCACCAATCATGGTTGTCTTTCCTGCCCCTCAGATAGGGCTAAGTAACTACAGACCTAAGGCAGGGCCTCCATACAATCTGATGGTGGGTTTATCTTTGGGGCAGTAGCCTCCTGTGGTAACAGACAGAGAGACCAGGGGTCTGTTAGCTTTGTTCTTTTCTGTTGAGAGCTCCTCAGCTCTCTGCCCACTGTTACCTCCTCCTTGCTGCAAATAGGACTGTTGCCTCTTTTGGCTCACTCTAGTAGAGTGTCATACAATATACACATTCTCATATTTTCCTAAGGTTTCAGGGTGCTGCTAAATAAAAGGGTGACCAATGGAATAGGAATAAGAAGCATTCCTCTTAAGACCTATTCCTCTTTTATCCAACTAGATCAAAGAAAGAAAGGTAACTACAGATACTACAGTAATAAGACTTTAGAAAACAGTATCTAAAACACTCTGTATTGTTATGGATACTCCAGACAATGAACTTCCCAAATCTGAATCTCCCTTTTCTACATGTATGCTTTTGTGTGTGTCTATGTGTGTATTTACATATATATGTTTACATCCAGCTTTTAATTTATTTAGACCTCACTTTTTGTTGAAGGATGCTTCATGAGTTATTGTCATTTCACTGAAGGCAGTGCTGATGGAGCAAAAAGGTACATAGACATATAGTGAATTTCTCTTTTTTGACACTATTAGCAAATACATTTTTTGTACCAAAAGAAGATTTTCTATAAATATGAAGTACGTACATATATAATAAGTGAGGGTATGCAAATACTACCACATAAGCCCAGTAAGTAAAGTCCAACAATTAACAAAGACTCATTTATCAATGGTCAATTCATCAGAGATTAAACTATATATAAATTAAACCTATGTACATATTAGAAATACATTTTAGCCAGGTGCGGTGGCTCATGACTGTAATCCCAGCACTTTGGGAGGCCGAGGCGGGCAGATCATGAGGTCAGGAGTTCAAGACCAGCCTGGCCAATATAGTGAAACCCTGCTCCTACGAAAAATACAAAAAATTAGTCAGACATGGTGGCACGTGACTGCAGTCCCAGCTACTCAGGAGGCTGAGGCAGGAGAATCACTTGAACCTGGGAAGTGGAGGTTGCAATGAGACGAGATCGTGCCACTGCGCTCCAGCTTGGGCAACAGTGAGACTTCATCTCAAAAAAAAATAATAATAATAATAGAAATACATTTTAATTTGCCCATGCCTCCCATGTCCTATAAAATAAATTCTTTTAAAGATTTACTTATTGGCTTAAAAATCAATACTACACACAAAACTCACATACTATTGCTTCATGAGCAACTACAGAATTCTCACCTAGATGTTTCCTTAATCAGCCACTGATTAAACACAATCCTTTTATTCCTTCTGTAAAATCTCATTCATTTTTGCAAATTTTCTTGAGCATTACACTATAATTAACTTGAATCAGGTTTTCCATATTACTTACACCTTTATGATTTATTTCCAGGAGAGGTTTTCACATGACTGGGAAAACCCTTCATCACCTCCTTCCCTTCATTGATCATGCTTGTCTTTCCTGCCCATGAAACACAGTGAGGTACCTGTGCACCTAAGGAAAGCGGCATCCAATGAGGTGGTGGGTTTGAGTTGGGTCTGGGCACCAACCTCACACGTGGATAGAGCTCTTGAGGGTGTGGGACAAGTCCACATTCCATTAGCTCCATTCTTTTTTTCCCAGGGCTTCACTACTCCTTATTGGCCGCCATCTCCTCCATGTTGCAAATAGGATTCTCTCCTTTCTTGGCACACTATGGTAGGGTCTCAAACTCAGGAAACCCAAATCCCTTAAAAAATTGCCCACCAGAAATTGAGGGTGACAAATACACTAACAGGAAGAAGGGGCTCTCCTATGAACTGACTTCCTTATACAACTCCATCAAAAAAGGATGCGGTTACCTACAAATGCTACAGTGAGAAGAATTGGAAACCCTGTTAAAAACACTCTGTATGGCCATGCAGGCTCCGGAGAGTAAATTCCACAAATGTCCATCTGTCTCCATGTTTTGTGTTTCCATTGTGCGCATGGGTTTGTTTGTGTAAATGTGTTGACAGAAGTGAGTACGGATGGAGATAGATGGATCTATTTGTGTATGTGCGTGTGTGTGTGTATAGCTCTATGCACACTTATGCATACATGTGTCTTTATGGATTTATAACTCACCTTTTACTGATAGGTGACACCAGGGCTGCTCCTTTACATTCACTGCTGTGTGGGCTAGAGGATGATAAAAGAATACAGTCAGCTAGGAGACACGATTCTAAATTCACTTTTTTGGAAAAATTAGCTTTTATTACTCTAGATAGAAACCAATTAATTTCTGTCAGGAAATCTGAGTCCCATAAAAAAAACTGCTTACTAGGAACTAAGGGTGACAAATACACTAACAGGAGGAAGCAACTCTCCTATGACCTGCTCCTCTTTATACAACTCCACCAAAGAAAGATGCAAAGTTACTAGCAAATGCTACAATGAGAAGAATTGGAAACTCCATTAAAAAAAAAAAAAATCTATATGCCCAGACAGGCTCCTGAGAGTAAGTTCCACAAATGTCCATCTCTTTTCTCCTTGTTCTAAGTTTCCACCATGTGCATGGATTAATTTGTGTACGTGTGTTGAAGAGAAGTGTGGATGGATGGATGGATGGATGGATGGATGGATGGATGGATATATTTGCTCATGTGCCTGTGTGTGTTTATAGTTCTATGCACACTTATGCTGATGGATGTCTTTATTTAACCATTTACTACTTACATATCATTCGTAAGTGTCTCCTCGGTTGCTCCTTTAAATTCATTTGTCTGTGGACTAGCAGATGATAAAAGAATACAGTCAGATAGGAGGCATAATTCTGAAGTTATATTTTGGAAAAAATACCTTTCATTACTCTAGACAGAAAGCAATTAATTTCTGACTATTCATGTGTATAGCACTATTGGAACATGGAATGTCTTTTTTCTTTATTAGAAATGAGGATTTATATGACAACAACCAAAATCATAGCCTGGGGAAAATAGTAATGCTTCGCAACTTAAGTAAACCCCTTTATTATGACCTCAGTCCCAATGTGTGACAGACTTTGTGGTGACAGTAATTTCAAACTCAACTCAGTTTGTAGGTAGTCAGCCCTCTTATTCCATTCAATGTTCTGCTTCAAAGGCCGTCCATTAGCTCCTTACCTTCACCCAGCATGATGGTTTCTCTAGTCCCACAAAAAGGGTCAGGTAATTAGAGGTCTGACACAGGAGCGCAATCCAAATAGGATGGTGATTTGAGGTTTGGAGCTCCAGCCTCCGTGGTGGCAGAGTTCTGGAGGGTGGAGAACAACTCCAAGGCTCTTAGCTCTGTTGCTTTCTGCTGAGGGCTTCACAGTGCCCTGAGCACTCCTACCTCCTCCTTGCTCCAAACAGGATTCTCTCTTCCCTTGGCCCACTCTGGCATGTCTCATACACCGAAAATCAGAGTTTCCAAGGCATTTGACTGCTACTAACAAATGGTGAAAAGACAGTAACAGACAGAAGCCTCTCTCTATAATCTGTTTCTTTTTTCCTAAACAACTGTAAAAATGTGGAAGTTATGTATATATGATACAGTGAGATGATAAAGAAACTGTGTCAAAGACATTCTCTATTATTGTGAGCACTTCTGACAGTGAGTCCCACTAATCTCAGTCTCTTTCTCTGTCACTGTTTTGTGTGTGTGTGTGTGTGTGTGTGTGTGTGTGTACATTTTTTTTTGTGACAAAGTTTTGCTCCTGCTGCCCAGAGTGGAATGCAGTGGCATGGTCTCAGCTCACTGGAACGTGCACCTTCCCATGTTCAAGCGATTCTCCTGCCTCAGCCTCCCGAGCAGCTGGGATTAGAGGCGCCTGCCACCACAGCTGGCTAGTTGTTGCAATTTTAGTAGAGACAGGGTTTCACTATGTTTGCCAGCCTGGTCTTGAACTCCTGACCTCAGGGTATCTGCCTGCCTTGGCCTCCCAAAGTGCTCAGATTATAGGTGTGAACCACTGCACCTGGCCATGTGTACATTTTTTATAACTCACTGGTCATTGGGGCTTCTCTCAATGGTGACTCCCTCCAAGGCATTTGAATTGGGACTGTAGAGGACAAATATGGTCAGAGTCAGACACAATGCGTAATTCCAAGGTTTTGCAACAAATAGCCAGTTATTCTATGCGTTATTCCTCAGTTACACTGTAATTATTCACATGTATGTACATCACTAAATTGACCTAGGATGGCATTTGCTTTTTATTAGAAATGAGGTTTTATATGCCAACAGTGAGTATCTTAGGCTGTGAACATAGCGATGCATCCAGATTAAGTAAGGGCATCTACACCTCGATGTATAACAGCATTTTTGGAGAGCATTTAATTCCAGTTCAAATTAAGTTTGTAAGTTCCCCTTCTTATAATCCCATCTACGTTTCTCATTCCCTATCACTTCCAATCACCTCCTCACCTTTCACCCATCCTAATAGTCTTTCCTGACCAAGAGTTGTGGCCAAGTAGCTACAGGCCTCAAGCAAGGGCTCCATCCCATGTGAGGGTGGGTATGGGCCAAGGCAGTCAGCCTCACATAAAGGCAGAGCTCAGGAGGGTGTGAAATAATTCCAGGGTTTTTAGCTCTGCTCTTTTTCTTCACAGGGATTTCTCTGAGCTTTATCCACTCTTATCTCCTTCTCGCTCCAAGCAGGATTCACTTTTCCCTTCGTCCACACTACTAGTACAGTCTCATTCTCACAGAAAGGAAATGTGACAAACACTAACATAAAAACCTCCCTCTATGAATTCCTCCCCATTTTCCTATCTCAATCCAAAAAAACAAAAGAATATTCCATACAAAGCTCATTCTGAGAGGACTCTAGAAATAGTTTCCAGGGAACTCCTTGTTCCCATGGATGCTTGTGACAGTCAATAGCCCAACTCAATCTCTCTTGTATGAATGCATGTATGTATGTGTTTGTATATGCATAGATACATGTATAACTGTATTCCTTTATATCACATGTTGCACTGGCCAGCCTACTAGAAGATACTCCCAATTCACACCTAGGGCAGTACCAAATAACTTAAAATGTACATACTAAGACAACATGTAACTTCCTAAACTTAACGTTTTCAGTTCAAAATAGTTCCAATTGCTTTTGTTTTGTTTGTTGTTTTGTTGTTGTTGTTGTTTGTTTTTTGTGACAGAGTCTTGCTCTGTCACCCAAGCCAGAGTACAGTGCCACGATCTTGGCTCACTGCAGCCTCTGCCTCCCAGGCTCAAGCAATTCTCCTGCCTCAGCCTCCCGAGTAGCAGGGACTACTGGTGCCGCCACCATGCCAGGCTCATTTTGTATTTTTAATAGAGATGGGCTTTCACCAAGTTGGCCAGACTGGACTTGAACTCCTGATCTCATTATCCACCCGCCCTGGCCTCCCAAAGTGCTGGGACTACAGGCCTGAGCCACCGCGCCTGACCTACCAACTACTTTCAACCTGTAAACTGCCTTACCCTTACAGAAGTCATGTGTGTATTTGGTTCTTTGGAATCTGCCATGCCATTTACCCTACACATCATACTTTATATGATTGCAGCACATCCTTTACACCTATCTGAGACTCACTGACTCAAGAGTTCACCAAAACTCGCTACCACTGGAGCTGGCCAATGCACGACAACCATTTGTGGGTGAATTTCTTTTAAATTCAACTCCACTGTGTAGGCATTCCTCCCTCTAATCCCATCTATGGCCCACTGCCTGGATCTCTCTGTCACCTCTTTCCTTTCACCCATCGTGCTAGTCTTTCCTGTCCAGGAGACACAGGCAAGTAGCTGTGGGCCTAAGGAAGGGCTGCATCCAATGAGGTGCTATGCTTGCGTTTGTGTTGAAGCACCAACCTCATATGTTGACAGAGCTCTGGAGTGTGAGGGACAAGTCCATGCTCCATTGGCTCCATTCTTTTCTTCCCAGGGCTTCACTGCTCCTTGTCAGCTGCTATCTCCTCCATGTTGCAGACAGGATTTTCTCCTCCCTTCTGTCAATCTCACAGGCTCTCAAACTCAGGAAATCTGAGTCCTATAAGAAGCTGCTTACTAGGAACTAAGGGTGACAAATACATTAACAGGAAGCAGCAGCTCTCCTGTGACCTGCTCCTTTCTATATGACTCCATTAGAAAAGGATGCAATGTTACCTACAAAGGCTATGATGAGAAAAATTCGAAACCCTGTTAAAAACCACTCTCTATGGCCATGCAGGCTTCTCAGAATAAACTCCACAAATGTCCGTCCACCTGTCTCCTTGTTGTATGTTTCCATTGTGTGCATGGGTTGCTAGTGGATGTGTGCTGAGAGAAATGTGTATGGATGGACGCATGGATGGATGGATGGATGGATATATTTGTTTATGTGCCTGTGTGTGTGAAAACTTCTATGCTCACTTATAATTACATAAATAAAGACACACGTATGCATAACTCACCTTTCATGGATACGTGCCTCCGGGTTCGTGCCTGATAATTCATTTGTGGGTGGACTGGAGGATGATAAAAGAACACAGACAGGAGACACAACTCGAAATTCACTTTTCTGATAAAACTCGCTTTCATTACTCTTTCCACAAACCAGTTAAGTTCTGACTATTCATGTGTATAGCACTATTTGGTTCTGAAATGTCATTTTTTATTAGAAAGGAGAATTTATACGATGGCAACCAACATCTTAGGCTGTGGAAAATAGTAATGCTTCCAGATTTAAATAAACCTCTTTGTTATGACCTCAGTCCCAATGTGTGGCAGCCTTTGTGGTGACAGTTATTTCAAACTAAACTTTTGTGTGGAGGTAGTCGGCCCTCTTATTCCACTAAATATGCTGCCTCAAAGGCTCTCCATTACTTCTTTACTTGATCGTCTGTCTTGGTCCACAAGTAGGGTAAAGTAACTGCAGGTCTGAGTCAAGGACACAATCCAATATGATGGTGTTTGGGGTTTGGAGTATCACCCTGGATTGTGGCAGAGTTCTGCAGGCTCAAAAACATTTCTAGGGTTGTTAGCTTTTTTCTCTTCTTCGGAGGTCTTCACTACTCTCTGTCCCCTGCTATCCTTTTCTGTTTCCAAAGAGGATTCTCTGCTGTCCTCAGCCATCGTAGTGAGGTCTCACATATAGGCAGTCTGAAAATTATTTTTGATTGTTACTCAGAGTATCAAACAGACTAGTAAGAAAAATCATCCTTCTTATTATGTAGTCATCTTTTATCTAAATTCATTCAAGAAGGCATAAAGGCACCTTCGTATCCTATAGTGAGATCATGTAGACACGTGTAAAAGTTTTTTGTTTTTCCATTAATGCCCTTGAATCTTCCCTAATCTCAACCTTTATATTTCTCTGCAGTACCTGTGGGTGCACCCTTGATTTCATATGAATCCATATAGGTTTATATAAATGGTATATAATTGTTTCCTCCTATGCCCATATATCCTTATATCTATATTGATTGATTTCTGTCTCACAGTTCATTGATAGCTCCATTCCGGGGTAGTGATTTGAATTTAGACTTGGCAGTGCTACAGAATTTAAACATATATATACATATAGGACCATATATATATATATATATATATATATAGTCCAACACCAATATGACATCTTAGACTTCACTTTCTGGTTTGAATTACTCACAGGTGATGTTTAGTTGCTACAATTGAATGAAGCACAAAGTAAGCATTTGGTGGTTTACTTTAATTCAAATTCAGCTGCAGTTTCTATGTACAAATCCCTTTGACTTCATCTCATTTCCTGATACTAAAATCCCTGCATCAGTGCCTTGTTTTCACCATCATAGGTGTCTTCTCTGCTCTCACACAGGGTCAAGAAACTGCTCCGTACCATGTGATGATGGGTGTGGGCTTGTAGTGTTAGCCTCACATGGTGGTAGAGCTCTGGGTGTGAGGAACCCTGCCAGGCCATTAGCTCTGTTATTTTCCCTAACGACTCCACTGCTCCCTGCCCACTGCTACTTGCTCATTGCTCTGCATAGGATTTTCTTCCCTTGGCCCACTCTAGTATGTCTCATACACAGGAAATCTGACTTTCCTAAGTATGTGCCTGCTACTAAGGGTGACAAGACAATAACAAGAAGTTTCCGCCGGACGCGGTGGCTCAAGCCTGTAATCCCAGCACTTTGGGAGGCCGAGACGGGCAGATCACGAGGTCAGGAGATCGAGACCATTCTGGCTAAACCGGTGAAACCCTGTCTCTACTAAAAAATACAAAAAAACTAGCCGGGCGAGGTGGCGGGTGCCTGTAGTCCCAGCTACTCGGGAGGCTGAGGCAGGAGAATGGCGTAAACCCGGGAGGCGGAGCTTGCAGTGAGCTGAGATCCGGCCACTGCAGTCCAGCCTGGGCGACAGAGCGAGACTCCGTCTAAAAAAAAAAGTTTCCCTTTTGTGACCTGTTCCTTTTTATCCAATTTAATCAAAAAGTTGGATAAGGGACCTGCAGGGCCTATAGTGAGGAGATTTATAAACAGTGTAAAAGACGTTCTGTATGACCTTGGATGATCCTGAGAGTAAAGCACATAATCTTCATCTTTCTCTCTGTTGTTTCTCTCTCTCTCTTTTCTCTCTCCCTCCCTGTTTCTCTCTCTCTCCCTGTGTTTGTGTGTCTAGATAGACAGAAGTATGCATATATATTTCTTTACATATCTATTTCTTTACATATTTGTGTATATATATTTTATAATTCACATTTCATTGGTGGTTGTATCATAGGTTATTGATGTCAATTCATCTGTATGCAGGCTAAAGGAATATATAAGTAGATAGTTGGACACACATGTAATTCTAAACTTACCTTTTGGATCAAACAGCCACAGTTACTCTATAATGTACTATCTGGTTGATGTTTAAATATTCACGTGTATTCACTAATTCGAACTAGATGTATCTTTTTTCTTTTTTTTTTTTTTTTTTGGCAGAGTCTCACTCTCACCGAGGCTGGAGTGCAGTGGTGTGATCTTGGCTCACTGCAACCTCTGCCTCCCATGTTCAAGCAATTCTCCTGCCTCAGCCGCCTGAGTAGATGGGATTACAGGCATGCACCACCACGCCTGTCTAATTTTTGTATTTTTAGTAGACACAGAGTTTTGCCACGTTGGTCAGGCTGGTCTCAAATTCCTGGCCTCAAGTGATCTAGCTGTCTTGGCCTACCAAAGTGCTGGGATTACAGATATGAGCCACCATGCCTGGCCAGTGGCATTTATTTCTAATGTAACTGCAATCTGTAAGGAAACATGCCTCTTACCCCTCTAAATTTTTGATTCTTAAGTCCCTCTGTCACTTCCTTACTTTCACCCATCATGGCTGTCTTTCCTGCCCAGAAGATATGACCATGTAGCTGCAGGCCTGAGTCAGGAACTCCCTACAAAATACTGTGGGTTTGGGTTTGGTTTGGGGCACCAGCCTCACATGGTGGTAGAACTCTAGAGGGTGAGGAACCCATTAAGGTTTCATGAACTCTGTTCTTTTTGATGAGTGCTTCACTCGTCCCTGTCACCTGTTACCTCCCCATTGCTCCAAATAGGATTCTCTCTCCCTTTGGCCCACTCTAGTAGTAGTAGAGTCTCATAAATGGGAAACTTCAAAGATTCCTAAGGGATTGAATACTAATAACTTAGAGTGACCAATATGCTAAGAGGAAGAAGCATCCCTTTCATGACTTCTTCCTCTTTCATCCAATTTGGTCTGAAAAAAAAAATAGAAAGTTATCTATAGACCCTACAGTGAGAAGATTTCGACATAGTGTCAAAGATACTCTGTATTTCCAAGGACATGCCTGACAGTGAATTTTACAAATATCAACTTCTCTTTCATTGTTTTATGTTTCTGTGTGTGTATGTGTATGCATGCGTGTACGTTGATAGAAGTATGTATTTATGTGTATATATGTGTATATGCACTTACATGTATATAAATCTTTGTTTTTAACTCACATATCATGGGTGGCTCTATCATAGGTTACTACCGTCAACTCAATTGGCTGTGGGCTGAGGAATTATAAAAGCATATTATTCAGATACAAACATAATTTGGACTTACACTTTTGGTCAAATAGCCGCAGTTACTCTAGACATGAGTCTACCTGCCAAGGAATGCTAAAGATTGCCAGCAACCAGCAAAAGCTAGCAAAGAGGTATCAAACAGATTCTTCTTTATAGCCCTCATAAAAAGCCAACCCTACTGACAACCTCAATTTCAGATTTCTAGTCTCTAGGACTATGAGATGATTCATTTTTGTTTAAGACACTTGGTTCGTGATACTTTGTTAAAGCAGCCCTAGAAACGAATATAGCCCAACCTGGCAGAGTCTCATACATAGGCAATCCACCAGGTTTCTAAAAGTTTTGGCTACTAGTCAACTCAGCTAGGAAGAAGTAGACTTCTTGTGATCTATTTATCTTGTATCCAACTAGACCCAAAAAGAAAAGGATGTTACATACAGAAGTTGAAACTACCAGTACTTTAGAAACAGTGTCCAAGAAACTCTATATTTATTTAACATTTGTTAGCTTACTTAAGACCTAATTTTTTAGAAAGAATTTTAGAATCGGTGTCCAGAAAACTATTTTCCCATGAATAATTCTAAGACTGAATTTCACAAACCTGAATTCCTCCCATCTCCAATATATATTATGACATCACCTTTCATTGTTGACTCCAGCACAGATTTCTGATGTCAATTCATTGGGATCAGTGCAAAGGATTGAAAGGTAAGTAGAAAGAAACAACGTAAATGCATACACTACTCTTTTTTTTTGGTTCAAATTGGCTATGATTGCGCTACAAATCACAATGTGTTGTCCCTAAAAATTATCATGTATATCTGTTACTTGGCACCTGGTACTTCATTTTTCTCTAGAAAAAGGTCTTTATGTGTTGGTAATAAAAATTGTTTAGGACTCTTTAAAAAGTTTAATGAAACAAGATTTAAATACAATTCTTTCTTACTGAATCTGGTCATCGTGTATGACAGCAAATTTAACTTAAATTTGCTTCAAATTCATGTCCCATTTGTAGGCACACGTTGTTCTTGCCCATTTTGATTTCCTAATTATCAAGTCCCTCCACCACCTTCATGCTCTTCATGAGTCACAGATATCTTTGCTTCCCTTCAAATAGGATCAAGTGACTAAACCTGAGGCAGGGGCTCCATCCAATGTGATGATGGCTTTGAGTTTGGGGTACCAGCTCTGAAGGGTGAGGGACAGATACAGGGTCTCTTAGCTCCTTTCTTTCTGCTGAGGGCTCCTCTGCTGCCTGTCTGACGCTACCACCTTCTTTCTCCAAGTAGGATTCTCTCCTCTCTTGGATTGCTCTTGAGAGAGTCTCATACATGGGCATTCTGATAGTTTCCTAAGGGTTTTGGCTGCTAATTACTAAGGGTCACAAACAGTCTTTGAGTACCAAGTGTGCCTCTTCTGACCTGATCTTATTTTTTCCACTCTGGTTCAAAAACAATGTTACCTAAAGATGCTTAAAGTCTCTTATAGAAAGCTGTTATTACCATTGATACTCTCAGTATTTTTCACCACTTAGATCAGTCAACTCACCCATTGTGGTCATAGCTGTCAGAGCATACAGTAGGATCTGTTAATGAATCCATAATTCTACCAAAGAGTAAAAAGCACATACAAAAAAATAAAGTCAGATATTATGAAAGGCAATCAGGATGTTAATCTCGACAGTATTTCAGGACATGAAAAATAAAATCAGAGGAATTTTGACAAGAACTAAAGAAACAATCTCAGGGTACAGTACTAGAATTTGTGTTTTGTGTGTGTGTGTGTGTGTGTGTGTGTGTGTGTGTGTGTGTGAGAGAGAGAGAGAGAGAGAGAGAGAGAGAGAGAGAGAGAGAGAGGGGACACAGAAAAAACAAAGAAAATGTAAGAATAATGAATGTTTCAATATCAATGGCTAGTTCCTGGTCATCCTTGGTAGGAAATAAACAAGTAGGTTAAGTCAAGCACAGCCTAAATTATGTTTAAGACATTTTGTGAACTTAAAGTAGATTATATATTTAGAAAGATTTTGTTTTCTATTTGTCTATACTCACTTTTTTAAAGTTATATGGCTATATTTTACAAAAT